GTGAGACGTACACCCGCCATTGTCATAATGGCGGGTGTACCTTAACGGATCCTGACAAACTTAATACCAAAAAAATGTACCTAAATTGTATATTTTTAAATATTATAAAGTAAGAATAGGATTAAAGAGAGTATTTAAAATATGTTAAAATATGTATTATTAATGTCAATCAACCTACTAAATCAATAAAAAACCCATTGAAAAACATAGACGCTTACCGTGTCCTATACAGTTAAATAATATCAACCCTTCATGACATATGAAAAAAACTATATAAGAACCGGCGTTTGTCACCTTTTCCACCAAAACAAGGACAAATACTGACATTAGTTTACTCAAATATAAGAAATATAAAAAAATGACGACAATATTTACAATTTTGATTTCGCTATAATTTCGTTCTAATAGAGGTACATTTTTTAAAGAACAGGCATTAAATAGTAATAGTACCATTTAGGTAAATTTTTGGTACTAAATTTGCTAGAATTCGTTGAGGTGCACACGTGACTCTTAAAAAATCTTACTATTTTAGCTTTATATCTTAGAAACCAACCAGCCGATCACGCTGGAGTTTCTTTTTCTTTAGAGCACTATTAAGGTACAATTTTTGGAATAATAAGTTTTTATGGTTATTAAATAAGAACTGGTAATTTGAGGTACACCCGCCATACTGACTACTATTGCTGTAACTGCGTTCCGATGGAAATACAAATTTCTTAAACACAGGTACTTACTATAAATAGCACAATTTAGGTACATTTTTTGGAGACTAAATTTGTCAGGATCCGTTATAAGATACACCCGCCATTCAGACTCACACAATTTACACATGCCAGATATCCGGTATCTGCTTATTAAACATCTGGTAATATCAGTTATAAGCATATCGACTCTGGAAAGACAAAAACTGCATTTGGAAAATATAAAAGGAAAGCGATTTAAAATAATACTTTTAAGGGAAAAAAATCATAACCAATTTTATTTGTCACTTATATGGAAAAACTGAAGCTTCTTGTTTTCAATATAACAAATAAAATTAGTGTTATTATTTTTTTTAAATTACATTATGATGCACGTTAGGCGTTTTACCTTTACAGATTCGATATGTATTCTGACCTTTAAGTTTTTTCAGGTTGAAACCGTGAATAATGTTACGCTACACGAGCATTTATTCTTACTTACGTGTTTGCACAGTCAGTTCTGAGCACCAATAACTCTTCATTTCGCTCTATTATTAATATCTTAGCTTATTTCTTCCAAGGTGGTTCATGAAATCATTATTTATGGGTATATAGTAAGGCCAGAATTACAAAAACGAAAGTATGAGAATAATGAATAATGTTAATTATTTACAATGTTACAATTTTTTTTGTTTTATTTCTGGCCTTCGCGGTTTGTGTTTGTGCCACTGCAAAATGCGGAAACGGAAACTTATTCACGGAAAACAATGGAAAGGAAAAATAAGTTGAAGGGAAGTGCGATTAAGGTTAAATACTAACAAATGCAGTATATTGTTAAATATTTATAATTTGATTCAATTGAAACTTATCAACGAAGCGAAACATTTACAGATAATAGGGCTATTAAATGACAAAATAAGCTTTAAAAAAAAAGGAAGAGAGAATCCAATGGAGATGAGGACATGGAATAAAAAGGAATGATCGTATATGGAACAGTTGAGATACTGTTTGAAAAATATTTGCAAATCTGCTGCCTCCTTTAAATAATCTTATTAGAAATATTTATTATTTACCAGGCGTCTAAGTGCACTGGCAGTAGTGCTGTGCCTATGTGCCATTTTATTACTGATATTAATTCCCAACCACAAATACATGAGAATATATTCCACACACGATACACGCTCAATAAGTTTTGAATTTACAATATCTACTCTACACGTAAACTCGCATTTTTTACTTTCTTGCATTTGATTTGCACTTAATTTTGATTTACGCCTAGTTAAGTTTATTTCATGTTTTTCTTTTTTTACTTTTGCTTGAACGAAGCGATAATGTCATTGTTATTTATTCGGCTTCACTGAAAATCAGCGTAACGAGGTATTTTCCTGCGTCTCGTTACAAAAAGCTGAGTGGAGACCATTATGGTATCATTCTAAATGTAATTCCTTTGTTTTGTGTTTCATACTAAGTTTATTTTGTTTTAAAGTTACCAAATAGTCTATTTTTGTTCCTGTGTGTTCTAAAAAACATTTAAATTTAGGAAAATCCGTATTTACTTTCTATAAATGAACGCTGTAATGTAGAAAAGCTAGCACAAGTTTATAGTAATAATAAATAGTCTGGTTGTATTTACATTGTTTTTATTAATTTCACTGTTATATTTTTTAAGAAATTTAACAAAATAGTATGGTAATTGTAATTTGTTTTGAGTAGTAATACTACTGATGTAGTTAATGCTGTTTATAGTATCTTCAAAATAGTCGGAGTAAAATGGCAGTTCATTGCGTAAAAGTGTTACCCACTTACGAGAAGTTAGTGATTGCAGTTGATAAATATATTTTCTCTATATATAGCAGAACTTGATTCATTTGAATCATCCTCGACCCATTCATTATTCATTCAATTTCTAGGCACAAACTCATTTGAATTGTCAATTTTTGTGAGTTCATTCATACATTTACACAGTATTTAGAACTATGTTTATGAAAAATAAAAAGAGGAGACATATTTTAAAGTTTTTCATTTTAATTCAATATAGATAATCAAATCCGGCAATTCTTGTGAAAAATATACGAATAATTGATCTCGACACTAGTAGGTCAACTGTCAAACTGTCAAAGTCATTTTACTCCGTCCTCAAAAAAGACGACTATAGTATTAACCAAGTACAATCAGCGTGATCTCCAGTACTGCCGTTTCAACACGTAGTGTAGACGGGTACTCTGAATACCTTGTGATTGGTTGCTTAAATTAAATACACAACGAAATTAACATTGCAATCCAGTTGGATGGCGTAAATTATTTGCTGATTACATGGTAGGTAACTCCGACGTAAAAAATACAAAATTGGGAACATTAAGCATAAAATAGGTCTGATATTATATACGAATACTTTCATTTCATTAAATTGGTCTCGTTGGCGGAGCTATAGATTTTGATTAAACATTAATTAGCACTGTTTCTTGGCATAAAGGGCGCAGCTAAGTGCCAGAGAATGTTGTTAATTTTACAAATGGCGGACTTAAGGGTCTTGATTAAGAACATGATTGTTTCAATTAATTGTAGAATTAGCTGACTAATTGTTTTTATGAACATATAAAACGTTAATTAAATTCGAAGTTAAAACATGCCAACTTTTTTAATTTTTGTTACTTGTCCACAAAATTTATCAATTTTGATTAAAAACTGGCTGTCAGAATGACACAAACAAAATGAAAGACACTCGCTAGGATTTTGTTTTCGTCGTAATATGAGTTGGTGTTTTTTTGTAATTCTTAGTTTTTAAGACAAATGTAGCATTTATTACTTTCCCTGAGTGGAGATATGTAATTCAAAATGGCAAGCTCTATGAACTTAAGTCGGGATGAAGAGGAAACACTGGAGGAAACTGAAGTGAAGTGGATTAATATAATCTTTGTACCATTTCACTATTGCTTAAAATTCATAGTCTTGATCGTTGTCATTATAAAATGTGCTATGGTTAGTGTATAATGCTTTTTGTTCGGCTAGGAGACTTAAATACATATGCCATATTCTGTAGATGTATGATCTAGATCTAGATGGACCACTAGGTCTACCCAGACTAACACGTTGTGGCAGTTGCGAACTCGTGCAATCATTTTTCGGTCCCGCCCCGCCTAGTTTTATCAAAATTTGATTAGTAAAGTTGAGGAGTATTTGCAATTATTACGGTAAATTTATGTAAGCAGAACAGTAAATTTCTGCTACTTGAAATAAAGCAAATATCTTAGAACTGGCAATAAATACGTTAATAACTAATTTTACATTTTCGTCATAAAAATATAATTGTTTTTTAATTTTAAAAATTTGAAAATAAAGCAGCAGTGGTCATGAACCTTTTTGTACTGACTACAAATTACAGTAAAGGAAAACATCAACAGAATTGATGATAAATGATGTTTACAAATGACACTATAAAAGTTTATAATATTATTTTACAAAATTTCCGTTTAGTGTTTGGAACCTATAATTCTTTTAATTTTTTATAGTAAAAATCTTTGATATGGATTATGTAAAAATAATAATAATAACGCACACACTCAACACAGCCCCGCACTAGGGAAACCCTGGGTCGCGGGTGCCATAGACACACATACATCGACAACCACAAATGAAAAAACGACTGAAAATCAGCGTCTGTCTCGCCTGAGACAGACATATTCCTGAGTCGTATCCTTTTTTTCTTTTTTGCCACTATACACACTTACTAACTTAATATAAAATCACGGAGCCATTTGTTGTTTTAGTGTTAAGTATTAGATTTAAGTGTGTATAGTGACTCAATTTAATGAATAAATGTTTTTCTTTCGTTCTTTCTTTAACAAATTACACCTAAACCCACGAGAGAAATAAATGTAGGCCATACAAATATTTCTCCCGCCCCGGGAATCGAACCTAGGACCACTCCGTGGCAGTCTATTGGTAACCGTTTGGCCACGGAGGCAGTTAAGACAGAAAGATAGAAACTTGTTATGGAATATTTGGCGAATACTAGGTACGAGTAAAAAAACGTAAAAATTACATAAAATTAGTAAATATGTTTGAGAATATCGTTTTACGGTATTTAATAAATAGGTTTGTTACAAAATGACTGAATGAAATGACGCCTGATAAAAGACCTAAAATTAACTGATCATGAAAATCTGCTATGCTCGTATTGTGTATTTATTACCTCCTATATTTTATTACGATGAGTAGTTACGAAAAATTTTTGTCGTTTGGATATCCATTGTTAACAAACCAACAGGCAATGTGACCCATGTTTTTAATGTGGTTTTGGTGAATTTATTTTTCTTCCAGGGACCGCTGACTGCTGTATATTCATTTATAAAATGTTCTGATAGGTTGGATTTACATCCTGTTCTGAAATATCCGAAATATTTTTATATATATTTCTGTGATCCCATCTATATAACGGATACTTTTCTTCACATTGTACACAGGTACAAGTTTTTAATAGGTAGTTCTAGTGTATATAAAATTTTGTTTTAATTTGTTTCTTGTATGTGAAATGTAATTTTACTCTTTTTGTTCTTTTCATTGAATCAAATATTTTTTTCTATACAAATAAATAATGGTTATTTGCTTGATGTTCAGACAAGTGAAAGACGAAGCTGTTCGAAGGGAATACTTACCAAAGTCTGCGTTTCTTATTTTGCTGGATATTATTTCGGTGATTCCAATAATGAGTTTTATCGCGGACAAAAATATCTGTCTTCCACCACAATTCTGGCCCAATATTTTAGCTTTCAATGAATATGTTATGTAAGTAACTTCAGCCTTATACCTACTTATTCTGTCCTTGTACTTTTGTAAAGCACACACAAGTATCAACGACACATATAAAAATGAATTAACACCTATAAGGTCCATTGTACCGAGTGAAAACAATTTTTTAAACTAGGTGGAGAGGTTTCTTAAATTTATTTTAAAATACTCAGAAGTGTCCACTTTAATAATAATAATAAGACGTTAATTCACAAGCAAATTTACATAGGGCTCACTATAAGTTTCCGGAACTGGCCACTTACATATACAATATTTAAAAAGTAATTACAATATTTGAAAATACAACTCTTTAGCTGTAGAATACAGTTTGTTTCATCTGACTGTCACTTGTTTTTACATTGTGGCGTCATTTTAGAAATTGGTTGTCCACAGCACCATGGATTTAACTCATGATTTTTTTAATGATTTTCTATGACTTTAAGTGTAACGTTTCGGAAATGTGGACTCTAGTGCCAATGAAAAGGATGGAACCTTAGCACTACATCCTGCTTTTGCTTGGATTTCTTTGGCGAGTCGCTTTCAGTACAAATGCAGAAAGCGGTCCTGCTAGATACAGCACGTATTATTGTACTCCGGTTCCTGCACCTGAGTCCCTGACTGGGCCATTGGTGGGGAATACCGCCTCTCCCATTAAAATTTTTTTAATTAATCTTTTAGGACCTGGGAGAGGAGGGAATCTAAAATAGATAGTAAAATTAAACATTCAAATTAACAGTTATATCTATTATAGTATTATTCCGTGTCGTTAGATAAATCGTTAGATGTGTTCAAGTTTTTATTAAACATTTATCTTTTCCAGAATTTACAGAGTAGTTGAGCATTTCAACTTGGTGTATACCCACTCAATCATGAGTTTAATAGTTGGCTATCTGATATTGTACATGCTTACAGTCAACGCACTCACCTGTGGTTTTTTGTTACTGACATATTCAAAAGGGGGACTTTGCCCAAGATGTAATGTAGGACCAGGTGTATACGACTGGCGTGCTTTCATTTTTACACGGGTAAGTTTATAAGTACTTACCGACATTTCCGCTCAAAACAATTAACCAACACGGTATGTTTCAGTTTTACGCACAACATTAAAGAAAATCTAAAAATATCATTAATAATATTTACTTTTCATAATTTTACATAAACCTATAATTTCTAAAATCATAGCCAACGCTACTCATAACATTATTAGTCATAATACGACTGTAGCGAAAATCCTTAATTTATAATAATATTTTTAGAAATCATAACAATTATTTATTTACCTATTTTTATAAGTAAATATAAAACGGACTTGGGCGATTAACACGGTGCTGCATTTTTTAACGTTGTACTGAAGTACCTCGGTTTGTATGGAAAACGTGCGCCGTCCAACACACTGACAACGCATCTTCGCGCGGCGCGGGGACGCGGTCGCACCGCGCCCCCGCGCCGAGAGGCGCGGCGTACTGCAGGGTATGGCACACTGCGCTCAGCACTACCGCGCAGATTTTTGATGAATTTGTGTCTATTCCAGTAATTGTCATTCGGATTTTCCCTAACAAACAATCAAAGGATTCAGTTGACATATACGTACACATAAAAAAAAATTGAAAAATTTATCTTCATATTTTCTTAAATCTTTGTAATTAAGTTGAAATTATCCATTTATCAATCTGGTTCGTAAAAAGGAATGTATCCAATATATAGGTGTCTTTTTATTTGAGTAAACATAAACCAAACAGAAAGTATAACTGCAGCGTTCTGAATAAGTTCTGTATTATTAACAATTGTTGTCAAAGAAGGACCTCAGCTACATTTACAATCACTACGAAGTGAGTACTTTGAGTAGCAAGTAGTGACGCGGGGCCGCTAGACTGCTGCCCCCGGGCAGATTAAACCGCGCGTTGACGCAGCTCTGCGTCTCCGCCACCACTCGTAATTCCGCGTCTCGCGCTCCGTCGACGTCGCGTGGCGTGGTGCAGTGTGTTAATCGCCTTAATGACATAGGCATTCTCAACCAATCCGGTGCATAACATGATAATGATAAGCTAAGCTAAGATTAAAAATAAGATAGAATCAAAGTTTATAAGTAATTATGACACATAATTTATACACATAAGTATACAATGCAATAGTCGGACACTGTTATATACATTTATCATGGATCATTTAAACACAAGTACATGTATGGTGGAAAAAATCAGTAGAACATGAAAAACACTCACAGCTTTTGAAAAGCTATTTAGTTAGAGCAGAATCAACTAAAAATGCAATACATAAACACTCACTATTTTATTGAACCAATCGAAAGAATCGTTGATATTTATGTATATTTACAACTTTTGTCCTACTTTGAATGTTGAAATACTTATATTTATAAATTTCTTATATATCAATCACATTATTTGAATCAATAACGTGCGAAATATTTTAGCTGACCCTCAACACGACCGAAACATCTTGTTGAGGCGAGGTATTTATAGCCTACATTTTAGGAGGTGGAGTGTGGGGGACCGCCCCTCGAATCCCGCAACCCGCGCGCTGAAAATTAATGTGAATAAAATGAGAACAGGCGGAGAAAATTTGACACAGATACGATATTGACAAGCGTCTGATGGCGACTAACGGGGCAGCGGGTAACGAGGCATATCGTTAAACCGCTGGGCAATTTGCAAATTTTGGGATAAATGTGAATTTAATAACTTCAGTTGAAAACCAAAATTTAGCAGGTTCTCTGTAGTACTTTAAAAATTATGTACAAAATTAGACATTCGGAAAAATAGTTTCATTTCGTATAGTAACAATCGCGAAAACCTAAGAACTCGATATAGACATTTGTTCTTAAATAATTAGTTCTAGACTTTTATAAAAACCTCATATGATCGAGTCGAAATACATTCTGTCGTGTAACGAATTAGCACATTCTTTAGACAATATCCTTAAGTGTATCTCATATTTTTTATAAGATCGTTATTTAATAGTAAATATCTAAACCGTTTGACCAAACAACGTTATTCCAAAAATATTAATTTAATCACCACCAAGGCTGCCACATATTTCGGCATGTAACTATGTGTACGTCATCTTCACAATAAAAGTATTGCACTTGACCTTTACATTAAGTTAACTAGGTAAAGGTCAAATAAATTTATAATCATTATGGACTTAAGAAAAAATGTTTAGTAGTATTTATTTCTATCCTTGTTGTGTATTGTTTTTACCTAAGTACGTATGTCTGGTCATTATAGTAAACGCCATAACGTCCACTGTAAAGCTTTTGTTCGGACTTTCTAATACGAGATAAGTTTTACTTTTCTTTCGATTTGGTTAACCATAGTCTCGATTGTGCTCGTCCGCGCTTGCCTCCCATTTTTCACAACATATGAAGGTGGCCCATCGTAGTCTCTCCTCGTTTTCAACTATTTTCAAAACGTTTCTGTTTTCCTTCAGTTTGTTTCGTGCCTCTTCATTGGTCACTCTCTCTAGTCTGTCCAGTCAATTATTTCTATCTAATTTCTAAATATTTCCTATTCCCTAACATTCCAAAGTCATGTCCTTAATAAAGATTTATTTACTAATCTAATATCCTCGAGTATATAACCATAAATAGAGACGAAATGTCATTTAATTTGTTTGAAAACTATTCTGCCAAATCATTACGCTGACAACTGCGCTCGGGTATCGTCAATTGTTTCACTTCAAATCTACCAGTTTAACTTGAGCTTTAATGTAATGGACGAAAATTGAAAAATTACATAATTTAATATAGAGTACTTAGGTTTTCGCGATTGTTACAAATAGCAAATGAAACTATTTTTCCGGATTTATGGGACTAGTAAAGGGCCCGAAACGGTGGTTTGTTCGGAGAAACAAATATACGCGATTTAAATCCGGAAAAATACTTTCATTATATAATTTAATATTGCATTACCGATGAAATGTGATCTCGTTTGTTTTGTAATTAGATATTTTGCTGTTCTTCCCACACCACCGAATCGAACAGCCCTCCATTGTAAGAGATATTATCTTTATTACAATAAATACAGAATATTTTTAGAATAAACGGAGACTTACACACAGGTCAGTTGTTGGCGCTGTACTATTTCAGCTTTGTAATTTGTGATTTCTGCGCAAACAAGAGTTCTTATTTAAAAGTTGTATCAGTACCATTTGACTGATGAGATGCCAGGGATGGATGGACCTCATTTGGTCTCTATTTCTGGTTATATACTCGATGTCTGATATCTACATGCACTGTAATATTTAAAACTTTGTGCTTGTTCTAACGCTACGTAATTTAATTTTACTGGATTTTTGTGCTTTTGTTGTGGTGAGTGTTGTGGTTTTCTTTGTTAATTTTTAGTTGAAAATGACGTTCATAGTGTTCAATAATGCCGCAAGCGAGGTAATGTCGTTACCAATATTTTCCGTATTTTTGGATATTTTAAAATATTATGAAATTATTACGGATAAATATTTTTTTTGCGTATAAGTGTGTTTGTATCTTCCATAGTTTGGTTAAGGTTAAACGTAGATGTATTGGTATGCACGGGTTACAAACATTGGATCTCAGTTTGCATTGTTATCATAGAAGTTAAACAAAATTATAAACTCCCAATTTAGATTTTGAAAAGGTAGTTCTGCTGCTCATCGAATTTATAAGTATAATTGTTTCAACATTTGTGTACAATAATTTACTACACCAAATTAAATTGCTACAAGTGTCTGTAGAAGCAATGTAACAAAAGCAGGGTGCGAAGTGATCATTATAATGATATTCATACCCATAATGATCTTGATAAATAACAAATCTTAATAGATTTCTTATTTATCAAGTCTTTATCTTGATAAATAACAAATCTTAATAGATTTCTTATTTGTCAAGATCATTGATAATCAAGGTGTGGTAATGAATTTGTTATATATAAAATTAATTAGAACAACAAAACGCTACCGCTAGCAATGTCGTGTCACGTGTTTATGTCTGACGAATTCAAACGAGTCAAACATAAAAGTCATTCTAAAAAAGTCACAAAGCAAATCGTTTTCCCAAAGATTTTTCTTGGTGTGTATTTAGTTATTATGATAAAAGAATCTTCACAAGTAAGAAATGGTCGTCAAAGTATGAAATTATGTTTATTTTTATTTTTATTTTATAATTTTCAAACAATGTAATTTAATATAAAATTATTTAAATTATTTATTAAATATAATTTTCATGTCTTATTTACGTAACATAGTAATAGTAGTAGTAAATACTCACTTTTAGTCAAAAAAAAAAGACTAAACTCTGACTCAGCATAAATAATAATCGAATATATTGGACTATTATCAGACAATTGTCATGATAAATTATTAATGAAAAATGTTTTGGTAATTTCGAACCCCGATCAAAAGTGTAAACTCACAATTGACTACATGTGCTTCTGAATTTTGACACATTGCTTCTTTAGTATTTTTTTTAAATTTACTAATAGTCATTTAAATTAATTTGAAATTAAATTAACTGTAGACAGGAAAGTAAAACTAATTAACATTTGCGTGCTTACGTGAAGAAATGCAGCTACAATGTACCTAATTTTACATATGTTACAATTCCTCTGTTCTAGTAAAGAAACATAATTCGGTTCTACATTATACTCGTATGACTACCAGCTTATAATTAATTACGTTATTAATACTTTCCGTATTTTCGTAGTTTTTACGATAAATTTCCTTTAATGTTTTTCTATTAAATATTATACTTTTGTATTTTCAGTTTAATGAATCATCAGAAATTCACACATACATATATGGTGCAACATTAATGATCTCGTTACTTATGTCTAAGCTAGTTGATCAAATTAGACCTAGAACCATAATAGAATTTCAAATTGCTACAGCGGCCTTGATAGCTGGATACTTAACGTCGTCATCAGTCGTAATGCCTAAATTTTTTGCTGAAGGATTGTTGAGAACGCGTCGCATAACGTCTTTTAATTACCGAGTTAAAAGAATAATTGAGGACATCGAAAGACGAAATCCAAACAAACGAGCTCATAAAGCTGTTGAAGAATTTTATTCCCTAATGTGGGAAAAACGTAAAGGTATTACAAGTATTCCAGAAGTCATGAGTGAGTTTCCAGCATATTTAAAAGTTGATATCAAAATCGATCTTGTCTGGCCTGTTTTTCATCATAGTCCAACATTTAGGAAGACATCATCATCCTACAAAAGATGGTTGTGCGAATTCATTCGTTTAGAGTATAAACTACCCGGGGAAAGATTCTTTGCAGGCTCTCACTGTTACACGAATTTGTACTACATTAAAACAGGAATAGTGCAAATATTTTCCACAGATGACAGTACATCAGCTCTATTGTCAGTAACAAGCGGTACACTTTTTGGCGATACCAGTTTTGTTATCCCTCCTCTGAACAGAAAGCTAATCGTACGATGTCTCACCTATTGTGAAATCTTTGTGATTACACGTGCTGCTATACTGAATTCTCTGCATATATTTCCCGAAGATAGACGCAATATAATGACGTTAGTGAGTGAACGGGTTAAACATGCGCGTACTCTGTACGCTTGTAAACAACAAATAAGAGGTTTTGATCGAACAGAAGATGAAGGTACAGCATGGATCAAAAAGCGTTGGTGGGAAATTTATAACACTATTTCACGTAGCACAAAAGCAAAGGACAAAAAATACCAAATACCGCCTGAAGAAAGCTATTATCATTGTGCCAAGTATATCGGGCAGTTAGTATTATGTTCAGAGAGTCAACTACAAGAAAAGACGATGTTCTTAAAAAAGACATTTCCGTGGATTTTGATACCTCACACATCTTTTGATTACGTTTGGGAACAAATAGTATACATTACAGTTTGGGCGGTACTCATTTTGTATCCACCGAATTTGCTAAAATTGACTTTAAATGAAGGAATGAGTTGGTTTTCATACTTACAGTATACTGTTAACTTAATATTTTTCGTCGATATTCTTATTACATTGATGACTGCCCAAAAAAGTGAAAGCTATTTGTCAAGAGTACAGCAAGAAGTATTTTTTTCGCGTTTCAAGGATTTATATTTCGCCCTAGACCTTCTTGCGACATGTTGGACGGAACATTTTTTTGTAGCAGTGGGGATGACGCAATATTTTTATGCAGTACAATTCAATCGTTTGCTGAAAGTATACGTGCTTTTTTGTAACCGGTATAACGAAACTTGGACGAGGAGAAACGATCCGACCCATAGACTATTGTACGTGATTGCCTTAACACATTTTATTTACTTTTATGTTTTAGGGTACTTTTTGTACATTTGCGTAATGTCAACACCAGCACTATCTATCAAATATTTCTTTGGAGAGGCTTGTTTGATTATTGCAGGAGCCATTGGTTATTGTAAAACTCGAACTTTAGGGATTTTGAGTGTAGTCATGGATTATACTTTTGAGGAAATATTTCCCTCTAATTATGGAACAACGACATATGATACGTTACTTCGAATCGCACTTATGTTTGTTACTTATATTATAAACGTTTTTACGAGAGCTACTCTTTTGCCAATCTTGTATTTAAAATACAGAGATATCGTTAACTATCAGTATTTTGTGCATAATTTAAAAAAGTATTATGCTCATCATAATATACATCCTGTACTTATGAAAAGGCTCGATAGATACTTGATATGCCAGTGGAAAAACTACAAAGGAATGGATATCATACACCCTACTTCTTTAAAAGATGAGCCTTATGACATTTATTGGAAATTGCAAGGTGAAATCGCTGAGAAGATTATTTCAGAATCAGATGCGTTTAAAAACGCAGATCCTCATTTTATAAGAGAACTTGCAAATAAAGCAAAGTTTATGATACTTCCAAAGGATGCAGCAGTGCTTTTGTTCGGTGCACAACATACAATTATAGCGTGGCTTGTCAAGGTGAGTCACTAAGCGAGCTGTGTTGTTATACCATTTATTTTTAACGTTTTCTTGAACATGGGTGTGAAATTACAGTTCAATTTAGAAAAAAGAAGATATGCAAAACTGCCTTTAGTTTAACTTGTGTGAGACCACTAAAGTGTGACGTCACAGTTGTTCCTTCTGCTTTTTTTACTGCCTCCGTGGTTTAACGGTTACCATGCCAGACTACCACACAGAGGTCCCAGGTTCGATTCCCAGACCGGGAGAAATATGTGTATGGCCTACCTTTATTTCTCTCGTGAGTTTTGGTGTCATTTGTGGTTGTCTATGTGTGTGTCCATGGCACCCGCGACACTTGGTGTCCCTATTGCGGAGCTATGAGTGTGTTGCGTTATTATTGTTATAATCCCTTGAATAAAACGTTATGGGAATGGAACCAGAGAAGTTGCTTGGATTGAAGTTGCTATCAGATTGGTGTAATCCATGTTCAATTGAGAAGCGTATGCATTGATTTGAATTTTATTTTTTCCTGTATTGTATGTCTGTAAATCATTGTATGACGCTTCAAGCCGTAGTAGCCTAATTGTTTGACCTGCGGCCTCTCAAGCAGTTCATCAGACTTGCACTTATGAGTTTTTGCGAATTCATGTGCGAAATTCAATTTACATTTCCTATGAGCTTTTCGATGAAGGAAAACATCACCAAAAAACCTGTACGCATCTGTAAAATAGTCTAATGATAATGATATGAGGGATGTTCCCAAGGGCTCGCGTGGGAACTACAACCCAAGATCTCTCATTGTGAAAGCAGGCCATTTTTTTTTTACTTTGTTAATGACTTGATTTTGTATATTATATTGTTTACAGGGAAAGATTAAAAGTGTATATGAAAACGACAACGGCGAGGTAATTACGACGTACGTAAATCCCGGAACACTCATATCTGTAACTTCTACATTTATCGGAAAAGTCCCTCTTAGAAGCTATATTACTGCAACAGCCTGTGAGGTATAACCATTATAATACATAACTATATTATTATTACAATACCAGCGCCTTCAAGCATGCCGTGCCAGCACTGTATGCTATGCTATGATATTTGGTACAGTATGTTTGAAGGCGCTGGTTCGAATCCAGACCGATCCAAGGAATTTTTCGTGGTGTTCGAACTTTGCATTAATAATAACAAACCAGTAGTCATTTTACAAAAAATAATTAAAATATATTAATAATAATAATAACACACACACTCAACATGGCCCCGCACTAGGGAAACCCTGAGTCGCGGGTGCCATGGACACACACATAGACAACCACAAATTACACCCAAACTCAAACAGAAATAAATGTATCCAACCTGGGACCTCTGCGTGGCAGTCCGGCATGGTAACCGTTCTGCCACAGAGGCAGTTATTAAATATCATAGTATACTACCATAGTATTCAATATACTTAAAAATAAAGTTTGGTGTAGCCAAAGTACCTAACACGAGTCCAGTCGTGTATGGAACGCAACTGCCACTTACGGTATAGCTCTGCTAAACACCAACTGGCCACTTTGGATCCAGTTCCTAAGAGGCATATAGGTGACTCGGATTTAGTAGAGGCGAAGCTGCAGAGCCTTGAACACCGCCGTAAAGTCTGCCTGCGTGTCGGTATTCTACAGTGTAACGGAACGTTACAACCACAGACATATATCTAGATAGACGCCTCAAGTGTACGTACCTTGCGTTCCCAAAGTACCTCAGTGAAATTCACTTAGTTGCCGCTGCTACACTTCAGAACGCCCTCGTCCGTTATCGTAGATAAACACCAGTCGAAAACGTGAAAAATGCATAATTGTGCCATTATAAATTACAAAAGCACCATAATTGTGGGTAAACAGCGACGTTTCTTTCCACGAGCAAATGATTTTGTAATCAGAAGATGCATAATTTGTTTTAAAAACAATTATTTTGGGTTTTGTAAGAATTTCGAGAAAACAAATATGCAAACGAGTAGTGTATGTCTCATAATTTGTAAACTCATTGAAAACCAGCGCCACAGTCAATTACGGCTGTGGCATAAGCTGAATGAAGTCCTTTTGCGTACGCCACAACCGCACACATGACAGTACAACATTTGTAGTTGTTATATTTAGTATTTTTTGTTTTGCTCTTTGTTTGTTATTGTCTTATTACATTTTATTTTAATTTTGTTTATTACGTGTTACCCATGGCGTTACTTCATGACGACGTTGCATACCAATAGTG